TACAAATGGATATATGAAATCTCAGATACTGTTGGTGTTTGCCAAAGTTAACATATAAACTGTATGCTTCTGAAATGTTATATAAAATGCTGATTTGCAATACGGATCCTCATCTTTTTGTCACTCATGCTACCCTATAACCATTCTGTGAATGTCCAGAATGGTTCAATTGTGGCTAGTTGAACAAATATTTATATATCATGGTTTCATGACTCACACAAAATCCCAAATAATTACTAGAAGAAACACAATTGCCAATCTTGTATTCAGACAGAGATCTTTACAGGTAGTTCTCAACTTACAACTGCAATTGAGCCCAAAATTTATGTTGCTAAGCGAGATAGTTAAGTGAATTCTGCCTCATTTTATGACCTTTCTTGCCACAGTTGTTAAGTGAATCACGACAGTTGTTTAAGTTGTTTAGTGAATCTAGCTTCCCCATTGACTATGCATGTCAGATGGCTGCAAAATGTGATCACATAACCCCTGGATATTGCAACTGCCATAAATATGAGTCAGTTGCCAAGCATCTGAATTTTGATCATGTGACCATGGGGAATGCTGCGAGGGTCATAAGTCACTTTTTTCAGTGCCATTGTAACTTTGAATGGCCACTAAATGAACTGTTGTAAGTCGAGGATTACCTGTACATTTGATAAACATTAAAAAATAGAAATAATAGCTAAAGAATTAAAGAATGGGACAGGCAAGGAATGATTAGGCCAGTACTGTAGTCTAGGAAACGTCAACAGTGAATAAAATAGGCTTTCTGAACTCCTTTACAGCTCTTAAAAGTATGTTATTCTGGTTCCTAGGTTAGCATATTTAACATAACCTTGCGGGAATCATTAAATATGTTGTAAATTAGAATCACATGTGTCTAAAGTATTTATATATCTGAAGCTATCTTTACTTTAAAAAAAAAACATCCCAAGCTTTTATAGCATGAGATCACTATTCTAATTCAAGGGAAATTGTTATCTCATAAAAATATACTGTAATGAAGTCTAAAGTACAAAATGAATTGCCCACTGCCAGCTTATATTTGTTTTCATGGCTGGACTGAATTCAAGCAACTAATGGCCAAGGAAGGCCAAGATGCATTGTCCCTAATAGGCAAAACACAGAGATACAAGTGCACTGCTTTTCACTCATTTGTTCACTTGGGGACAAACTGTAATCAGCAATGAATCGTGATATAATTTTATTTCTTTTCCCTTCTGTACAATGCAACTGCAGAACAGAAATAATCCAGCTTAAACCTAGTTTAAGATACCTTTGGCTGGGTTAGCCAGGCAAGTTGCTTCAGATTTAAGCTGAAAAAACTTGGATAGTTCAAAGTGGAGATCTTTTTCTTAGTTTATTATGAACCAAAGTACCTTTCCTTTTCCTTTTCCTTTCCTTTCCTTTATTTATTTATTATTTAATTTCTTATTCTTTCCAAGGTGGTTAAAAACACTCAAGATTTAACAGAGAGACAAACATAAATAACGCATAAAACAAATTAGTAAAAACCACACGGTCCTTTCATATGACAGGAGCAGCAGCTGAGACAACATACCCACTTGACAGTGAAAGGCTTTGTCTCTCTTTTTCAACAGAAAAGATTATTTCTGAGAGTGGAAGAACTCTCAGGGAAGGTTAAACAGACCTCTCTAGGCATTTGGAAGACCCTTCCAGGGGTCTTCATGCCATTGCCATGAAACCAAACATCCATTACCTCTCAGTCAACTTGGCTTTTTGCACCGTCTGTACTAGAAAATAGGAGGAATTTAGAAACATCTGTCTCTGGCACTCCAGAGATTACATGTCTGTCTTATGGCTCTGTCAGATAGTTGGCTGTGCTAATTGGGAATGATGGGTGTTATTATAGACTTATATGTTGTTATATGCTATAGGAAGTGTCAACAAGACGGGATGCACCATGACTTTCTCCAGTGACTTTTTCAAATATCTACCATATATAATAATATAATACCTTCCATTAGAGTACATTATTGCATTACTTGTTTAAATATACCAAATATACTCGTTTAAATATACCAAAAAGTCGGTGCTAAAGATTGTTCAAACTACCAACAATTGAATTAATCTCACAATTTGATAAGATAGTGGTCAAGATTTAGTAATCCAGACATCAAACCTCCAGATGAAGGAACTGGATATAGAAAAGGCACTCAAATTAACTTTGCTAATTAGTAGTGGAAAATGGAAAAAGAAAGGAAGCTCCAAAAATAAGTCAATTGTGAAGTTTGGCCCCACCAATGTTGGGGAGGGGGTATTTCCTTGATTAATATTGTTTTTTGCTTGTCTGGTATTAACATAGCAGGGCAAATTACACTGGCAGAGAAAGCTGCTGTAGATAATCCCAAACTCACTGGCACTGATTATGATGTTACTACTCAGTTGTGAAGCTTCTGCAATCAAACAACCAAGCTCACAGAGCACCAAAGACTCTACAGTTCAACCCCAAGCTATATATATTCTCTTCTATTGGAAGATGTCAATTGTTATTTTGTTGATCATACAAAAGCTTTTGGTTGTGTAGGCCACAACAAATAGTAGATAACCCTTACAAACAGGGACACATTCTTGGCCACCTTATTTGCATACTGAAGAATTTGAAGAATAACTAGGAAGCAACAATTAAATACTGAATAATTCAGAAGAAAGTCTGTGTCAAGACTGGATGTTGACAACTTACTTATTTAACTTATATGCAGAATATATTAGGAGAAATGCTGGAGTAGAATAAAGAAAAGTTGGCATTACACTGCCAGAAAAATGTCAATAATCTCAAATATGTTGATGATAGCATTTTAATGACTGGGCGCAAGCAAGACTTGTGGAATCTGTTGTTTGAGAAGAAAGAAGAGGGTGCAAAAACAGCCTGCTCAATAAAAAAAAACAACCTAAGAATATGTCAACAAGCAATACATCCCAGCGCAAACAGGCAGGAAAGAAAATGAAGTTGTTGTAGACTGTTCCTTTCTACTCTCAAAAATTCACCAGGATGACGACTATAGACATGAGATAAAGAAACATCTGATACAAGAGAGAATGACTTTGACAAGTCAATACAAAATACTGAATCGCAGATACATCAAACTGCCAAACATGGTATGTATTGTCAAGGCCATGGTTTTTTCAGTTGCAACATATGGCTGTGACTGGTGGGCTATCAAAAAGAAGAATGTATGCTTCTGAATTGCTGTGCTGGAGAAATTGTGGAGAATACCTTGGGCTATAAAAAGAACAAATAATTCAATAGGGTGTCTCTGTGTGTGTGCCTTTGAGTCCGTTTTTGACTCCTGGCAACTAGTCCCTGTAGTTTTCCTGGCAAGATTTTCAGAAGTGGTTCACCATTGCCTCTTTCCTAGGGCTATGACTAACATTTATAATCTCCAAGTGCCTGGTACTTTAACTAATACAGTAATCTAGTTCTCACAATTTGCTCCTCAAAGCACTAGTAATGAAGTTGAAGTTTAAACATTTTAGACATATAATAGAAGGGCCAAAGAAGACTCTGTAGCTTGTAAGTATCAAAGGCAACTGAAACAAGATAATTAAATATTATCACTGAGTTGATGATAATTGAGGAAGCATTTACTGAAAGATAATCCCAGAGATCTATGATGGGTAGCAAAGAATGAGAAGTGATTGAGTGATTTAAAAATAACAAGAAACTTCATCAATGGCCTGAACTGTTCACTTATTCATACTAACAAGAGAAACAATTGTAACATTTCTCTTTTTGGCTAGCTGTTTTCTTCCCAGCTTCTAAATTTTTGCCCTACCTTTTGCATTATTATTTTGGTGGGGCAGCTTTCTCAAGGCAAGGCATATGACCCTTCAAAGTTACAATGACCCTGAAAAAAGTGAATTATGATCATTTATTATTTGACTGTTGCAACAGCCCCATATGGTCATGTGATCAAAATTAGGATGCTTGGCAACTGGTATATATTTATAATGATTGCAGTGTCCCAGGGCGATCCCTTTTGTGGCCATCTGACAAGCAAAATCAATGGTGAGGCCAAATCCACTTAACAAGCATGATACTAATTTGATAGCTGCAGTGATTAGCTTAAAACAGTGGGAAGAACGTTAATGTTGTAAAATGGAGCAAAATTCACTTAAAAAATGTATTGCTTAGTAACGGAAATTTTGGGGTCAGTTGTGGTCATAAGGACAGCCTGTATTTATTCCCACACTGATCATTCCACAACATAGAAGGATGTTGCCATTCTTAGATTCTTTTTGTTTTGAATCAGTGACTTGATTATTCAGAATCTATACTTGTCAAAGGGATGTGTGAACTAAATATAGGGATAGTAGTGCAATTACACAATCCCTCTCCCCTCCCTTCCTAAAGTTATACAAAAGTTTATATTTTACTTTCAAAACACTTCTTCCCAACTAATGCCCAGACCTAAGTTTACAAGTGAGGACTGCTTGGAATGTATTTTTCATTGGCGGAGCCAATGTTAGTGACATCAGCCAAAGCACTTTTGATTGGTTAGCTGGTTGCTGGGACTATAAGGGCTTTCGGTGAGGCAGTTAACCCGATTTCTGCCGGAAAGCCCTTATAGTCCTGGCTAGTTGAACGCGCGGCAATTTGTCCCAGAGGGAAAAGATGCGAGCTGGAGTTGAGGCTGATGGGTCCCCGCACCCCGGACGGCCGAAGCCCCGCCTGACGAGCCATTCGGAGGCGGCAAGCGCTCTCCTCCGCGCTTCCCAGCCTCTGTGTCGCCGGGATAAACTCTCCCGCCTTTCCCTTCGTTGCCCTTTTAAGTGGGGGCTTACAAGGCGTCGAGAGTAGCACGAGGCATCGGGAGGAAACCTTCGGATTGGCCGAGGTCCCCGTCTGTAGACACACCCCTCATGCAAAAAGGGACCTTCTGAGTGGAAGGAGGAGAAGGTAAACAGAGTTGAATCACTCTCCCGGCTGACCAATTGGGGGTACAGGGGCGGAGGGGGGGGGGGCTCGCTGGAAGAACCTTTTGCGTGATGGGCTTCTGCGAAATCGGTCCTGAGCAGGGCTGTGCTGGAACATTGAAGAGCCGTAGGCGAGGGGGGAGTGAGTCAGTCAGTGGGCAGACCCAGCCTCAGTCGCTGCTGCTGCTGCTGCTGCTGCGTAGAGTCCTCACGCTTGGGCTGCTGTTTCAGCACCGCGCCTTCTGAGGAGTGTGTGAATGCGCTGGAAAGCCTCGCGAAGCGGGGGCGGAGAAGCAAACGCGGCGGCGGCGGCGGCGGCTCGGGTGCGAGGACTGCTGAGCTCTTCCCGAGCTCCTTCCGATTTTCTTCTGCTTTCCGTCCCCTCGCGGGGTGGGGAGGAGGGGGAGGAGGAGGAGGAGGAGAAGGAGGAGGAGGAGGAGAGGAACAGGGAAAACTCCCTGCTGGTGCTACTTGGATTACTTGAAACCACCGCTCGTGACCCTGTTTTCCGAAGAAGGGAGCCTTATCACAGTCTAGCCTCTGAAGCGGGTCCGGGAGTGCACGACCCACGCGCGACGCCTCACCGATCCGGAGTTCTGCGGAGAGGGGGCGCGGGAAACGACGGCGACCGAGGTCAAGAGGTAGGCTTAGCGGTGCTTCTCCTGGCTGGGAATCCCAGACGGTCGTGGTTATGTAAACGCCGAGCCCCGGCAGTGGATCCCTCCTGGCTGCAACGGCACCCCACCCCGCCCCACCTCCACCCGCGATCCGCAGCCTGAAGGAAGGCGACCAGCCGCCCGGCGCTCGACACACCTACCCACCCGGCCCTCGGAGGGCGAGAGGGCGGCGGCGGCGGCGGCGGCGGCCACAGGCAGCCAGCGCGGAGGAAGTTTTGCCCCGGGGCCCTCGCCCTGCCCCTCCCCCTCCCCCTCTTAAATTATTATTACCTCGGGGACCGACGGTCGCCTGCAAGATGTCAGCGGTGGCTTACATGGACTTCGTGGCTGCCCAGTGCTTGGTCTCCATTTCCAACCGCTCCGTGGCACAACCGGACGTGACCCGCGAAGCCGAGGTCCTGAAGATGCCCGAGGAGGAAGCCGCCGCCGCCGTCGTGACCAAGGAAATGAACGACCCCCGCGACTCCTGGAAGGATTATTGCACGTTGGTGACCATCGCCAAGAGCTTGCTGGACTTGAACAAATACAGACCCCTCCCCGCCCCTTCCATCTGCAGCGACAGCGTGGAGAGCCCCGACGAGGACATCGGCTCCGACAGCGACGTGACCACCGAATCGGGGTCGAGCCCTTCCCACAGCCCGGCCGAGGGCCAGGAGGCTGCCCGCGGGCCCGGCGCCTTGGCGCTCCTGCACGGCGGAGGGCCGGCCAAAGGGAAGCTGGCCGCGGAAAAGAGACACAAGTGCCCCTACAGCGGCTGTGGCAAAGTGTACGGCAAGTCCTCCCACCTCAAAGCCCACTACCGAGTGCACACAGGTGAGCCGCGGCACTCTCGCCCGCGGGGGGGTGGGGTGGAGTGGGGTGGATGGGCGCCGGCGGGCGGGGATCGCCCGCGAGTCGGACCTGTTTGCTAAAGGCGGGGATTAGTACTAGGAAGGGGAGCCGGGCTGAGCTCTTTTCCCGCGGCAGCCGCTCGCTTTCCCTCCCCCTCCTTCAAGTATGTCGGTTGTCCTCAGTTGAACTCTCCTCAAAATGCCGCGGTTGCCTTAGCGCCGCTCTTCCCTGCCTGCCTGCCTGCCTGCCTGCCTGCCTGCCCGTGCCCTGCCCTGCCCAGCCTTCTCTCCTCCTGGAGCTCGCTCTGGTGCAGGCTGCACAGGGGTGTTACTGCAAATGACACGTCAAAACGCCGAGGATGGATGGAGGAGCTGAGGGTGTTGGAGTGGATGGCACCCTCCGGGAATCTTTCCTGTCCTCCCCTGTTCTGTAGTGATGGCTTACACCGAGTCGGTGGTGCCAGTAGAGGAGCTGTTTCCTTCAGAAGCCTTCATCTCAATCTCTGAAGGATGTTGGAGGAGGGTCAGCCGGGAAAGGGGCTTCGTGGGTGAAGTTAACAGGGTTTCCTCCTATTTTATGATTGCACGATAATCCTCCCTTTAACTTTTTCTCGTATCAAGCGTGGCAATACTGGGTTAGAATTCTCATGAAATTCTAGACCAGGAGCCAACTTCATGTTTCCTTGGGCTGCTTCCTAGAACAGACTTTTTAATGCTAGGCCTGGCGCAGCTTCTTTGGGACCTCTGGATTCCATAAACTCCACCTGGGCGGGGCCGGGCTTGGTGGCTGTCGTGGATTGATGACGTATTTTTTTCAAATTCTGACGTGAGGTCTCCCACGTGGGTGCTCCTTGGCTTTCATTGCCTTGGGGGGTAAACACCAAGGGAGCAGGAAAGAATAATGGCAGCAAAAGCAGAAGGCCCTGAGGTCCATGCTTTGGGACAGTTTTGTTTAATGATGTCCAAATGCATGTGGTACACATGGCTACCATCTATAAGAGAAATTCGTTATTTTCATTCAGTCTTCAGTAATATGGCAGCTGTCTTCATTTGAGCCACTTGCGTCATGTGTTGCCTAATTGCCTTCTTTTGTAGGCTTTGAACTTGTTGAGTGCATCATCAGTAAGTTGCTTCTTCTGAGGGTACGTTTGCTTATTCTTGGTTCAAACCCCAGCCAATTATAATAGATCATAATTCTCTGTTTTTAGTACATCTGGCACTGTCTTGCAGGCACCGGAAAGTGCATTCCTAGCACTTGGCGAATATGTTTAAAGATAAACGTTGATTAGGATATTTAAAGTGAGCTTCTTTGAAAGACGAAATGATTGGGGGAAATGAATGCCATCTTTTCCACCAAAGCACATTGTACCCAGTTGTCGTATGTGGGTGTGTTGGCAGCATCTGTGATCAAACATGGGGTGGTTAGTAAGCTTTGAAGATGACACATGGGGCTACATACATTTATGGTGCCTCATTGACAAAACACATCGCAACTTTAGCCTGTCTTTTTGTTGGTCATGTGATTATAAAGTGGTGTTCCAACACAAGGAGCCTGGTCTTGGGGTGCTCGTATGTATGTTATTTGGGGTTTCCTTTGGCAGGGAAGAAAAACAATCTAGGCAATAGTTCTATGGTCTGATAAGAGCACAAGCAACGTGGTGAGGAATTTCAATACCATCTTGGGAAATAAGCAGCTTTCCCTCGGTTTGTGAATGTGTGTTTTTCTATTTGTGTTATGTTCCCGTTATTTGAAAACCAGACAGAGTAGCAAGACTCAATGTTGCAAGTTGCTCCCTGATCCAAATGATCTGTGAAACAGTTTTTCGTGGCCTCGTCTAAGCCATGTGAGTTAGGAGCTGAAGGAAAATGGTTGGATAGTATAAGAATGGATTCGATTTCTTTCTTATGATGAATATGTGATGCATATAAGGCTTAAAGTGCCTTGTGTGAAGATGGGATAGTTGCTGGGGAAGCAAAACGGAAGTTCCTAATCCTTATCATTTTTCTTATAGATTATTTTCCCCTGCCATATGTTTTTAAAAAAAATGACTTGAAGAGGAATAAATCTTCATTATAGGAAACTGGTCATGGTACTATTGATGCCCACATTAGGTGCATTTAATGTTTACCTAAGAGAGAGTGTCAAACTGGATTTGGCCAAATTTCTATGGTAAATATTCCTGGATGATGTGCGACATCCCTGGGAGAGAATCTCAGCCCTGTTCACACAACGGGCACCGTAGACTGCAGAATGGAAAATGCACAGGAAAAGGAGTGTCGTGTGTCATTCAGCAGTGATTCCTGTGGTTAAAACCCATAACACAGGAAGGAAAGAAAATATGAGCATCAGCTTTTTTCTGTAACATGGCAGAAATACCAAATAATTTATAAAGTGAGAGAGGTCAATTGCTGAGAATGCCCCAGTAGTATCCTACACATAGGAAATGCCAATCATTTTCTAATCATTCTAATGAAGCAAGTCCTTACATTTTGTTTCTTCCTGACTAAGAGTAGGACTTCAAAAAAGGAAAAGGAAGCCACATGGCACAATTCTCAGCTAACCTGAAAGTCTACACTGTAGAAATCCATTAAAATTTCTCTTTTCTTACCATTGGTTATTCTGAGAATTGTGACTGACAGTGACCATTCTACAAGTTAGTAGTATTTTCATTATTTATTGACCTTCCATGTTTTCCTGTGCTTGGAATTCAAGGCTTTTCCATCAAGAAGCTAGTTCAGAGAACGGCAAACCATTTACTATCAACTAAAGAGCAGAGAAACTTGGGATGGAAATTAATAAATCTCTATTTTGCTTCGAGGGTGTATTGCATCGCGGAGTTATTTGCAAGAAATAGGTTTATAATTTGATAGAAACTTTAGTGCTTCGTTTCTGAAATACTAATTCCCTTGGCTATCAAATTCCGATCGTCATATGTAGGAATCAGAACTAATGTTACTTGTAGGGAAAATATAATTCAATGATATGCACAGACAATCCTCCTCTAGCAACTACAATTGGAACTGGCGACTTGGTCATTAAGTGAAACTGCACATATGCTTAACTTTTTCCTGTAGTTTTCAGGTCTATGCTTTACGGACCTATGAAGGTTATAAATGTGAGGACTGGCCATAAAGTTACTTTTTCATCACCAGTGTAATTGTGAATGGTCACTAAATAAGGACTATTTGTAAATGGATCACTATGATGGATCTCAACTAGTTGCTAAATTGAAATTCCAACATTCCATATCATTGGCTCTGCTGATTAGGACTATTATAACCACATCTGAAGTGCCCTTAGACCCAACATGTCAAACACAAGGCCCAGGGGCCGGATGCAGCCCGCAAAGTGGTTTCATGTGGCCCCTGAAGCCATTCTGGAAACAGTGAGGGAACACCCCCGCTTTCTTGGCCATCTATGCTGAAACGCATTCAATCTTAGCTCCACAAAGCCGTCCGGAAACAACGAGGAACCAGCCCCTGCCACGTCAGCCCCACCCCCTGGGTACATGCTGGGGAGGTGTCATCCTTTGTGAGGAATGAAGAAATGCACCATCACCTGAAAGTGGCCAGCAAATGGCCCTCGCCTACTTCACATATCCGGCTTGATGGGCTTCAGGGGAGGGGTTTTAGCAGGAAGCGGGGTGCTCTCCTCACAGCGCTGAGAGGCTGAGCCAGGTGGCACGAATCTGATGAGAAGTGCAATGCTGCCTAGCCCCAGCCTGCTCAGTTTCAGCAGGCAGCAAGGTGCAAAGCTGGTGATCTTTGCACTGCCCGGCTCAACCTCTCGGTACTGTGAGGAGAGCACCCCGCTGCCTGCCGAAACTGGACAGGCTGGGGGCTAGGTGGCATTGCGCAGGTAATGTTGACTCTCACACTGCTCATGGCATCCCCTCCCCCAGAGCCCACCAAGCCAGATATGTGAAGTAGGTGAGGGCCATGTGCTGGCCACTTTTAGGCAATGGTGCATTTCTTCATTCCTCACGAAGGGTGACACCTCCCCAGCTGCATTTCTTGCCTGTTTTTCTCCCTCCCTCATCTCAAATATTTTCCCACTGCTCTGTACTTAGGAAGGAAGGAAGGAAGGAAGGAAGGAAGGAAGGAAGGAAGGAAGGAAGGAAGGAAGGAAGGAAGGAAAGCAGGAGAGGGAGAGTCTGAGGGAAGTCCTGCCTTAGTCCTGCCCTGCTGCCCTTTCACCATCCCTTTGTCCCCTCCTCCTGGCCTATCCTGGGGGTCTCCCATCCTATTGCTAAGGAAGCTTTGGATACAAAGCTGGGTCTCCTCACATGGAGAGGGAATGGGCCTCCCTCTGACTTTGCCCTCGTACCCATCATGAGCAACTTGGCTAAGGAGAGCAAGCACAGTAGCAGCAGCTTTGAGGAGGAGGTAAGTATAGCTAGGTGCCCCCTTGGGGAAGTGGGGCTGGGCTTGGTGCCACAGGTGCTTGAGGGCCAGGCTGGTGTTTGACCTCTGCTGCCCAGGGCTCCGGGCAGCCCGCGCCACCATCCAGCCCCCCCACATGGCCTGAGAGGAACAGTGAGGCTCCTCCAGTGGACCATGCCTTGGCATTTACCCTGGTCCCACCCCCTTCTGCCAGAGACCCTCAGATCTGTCCCACTCCTGCCCAGGCCCCCACAGGCACCCTTGACTCAAATGATTTAGAGCTGGCCACACTCACCCAGTAGGCCACACCGACTCCATCCATGCCCACACAGTAGGCCACACCCACCCGAGGACAACTGCAATGAAATTGAGTTTGACACACCTGCCTTAGACTAATATATAGGATGATTATGGCTGAAGCAAATATACACTTGAATATAGCAAGCAGACTGAGAACCCATTTCTCACTTGTACATTCTTGTATATCTCCCTAGAGGCATTTTTTTTTTTTTGGCTGTTCTCTTCTCTCTAATACTTTGTACCTTTTTAGTGTTTTCCTCATTGATATTATTAAAATCATATTTTCCCTTGGCTATGAGG